TAGCCTATAAACTAAACAACCCAGAATTTGTATGAGCGGTCAACTGCATAGCGAAATATGCCTTCGCGAAAGTTCCGCGATGGTGCCGCAAAAGTTACTTCTTTTTGCAGAAGTTATCTGTTTAGCTTACTTGCCATATTATTAGTATTACCGGTACTAGTACTATTACTAGTACTAGTACTACTACTACTATTACTACTACTCTTACTATTACTGTTAGTGTTACTTCTACTGTTGCTAGTACTGGGACTACTACTACAGTACTGGTACCTTTTTTGGTACTACTCCTGGTACTAGTACTAGTAGTATGACTATCACCATTACTAGTAAAGTTGCTAGTGCAGAGTTTAGCGCATAAGTTCCGTGTAAGTGACGTTAAAGTTAGGGAAGGCTCCCACAAACTCTCAATCAAGTATGCCCCCCAAATCTTTGCAATCGAGAAGCCAGGAAACTTTGTCAATAATCTGAACCCGAAAACAGCTTCGTTAAGCAATCCAAGCTTCACGCAGCCCTGAAAGCCCCAGGACCCTAGGAAGCCTGCCAGAAGCTCTTAATCATAATGCCCGTAACAACATGTCATCGAGAAGCTTGTAGCTTATAATATCGGGTTCTAAGGTGCAGAGGTATGTAAACATGCCTTCGCGAGAGTTCCACGATGGTGTCGCGAAAGTTTTTTCATTCGTGAACAAGGTCATTCCGGAATGAAGGAATTTAGATCAACAGCCACATGTTTGTTTACTTGTTTGTTTCTGTTTACTTAATGACTTCTGGTTGGATTGATAACTATAGTCTTGTCTCACTTGTCAATGTTGACAATTCTGCTTGTCTTTATACTTATATGTGTATGAAGATATAAAGTTTTAGTCTGGTTATGTGTACGTAACTCTTATGTTGTCTGTCGATACATTTATATGCTTATAGATGTACAAGTATGTACATCATGCGTGTACAGTATGTATTACTGTATATATACTACCCCGTGTGTGTGTGTGTGTATGGATGCATCCGGAAGTAAGTGCGGAAGAAAGCATGCATGGGCGGGTGTAGCATGCATGCATGCATGCATGCATGCATGCATGCATGGGTGTATGTATTGATGTATGTATGTGCGTAGGTATGTATGTATGTATGTATGTATGTATGTATGTACGTGTGGACTCTCTAGGTGTCTATGTGTGTGTGCATGCACGAGCACATTCTTTTAGAGATTCGCCTCTCTCTCTATGTACATGTATATATGTCTGTATATATATATATATGTGCATACACACACACAACATAAACATGCTCAGTGTGCAGTCCCAAGTGTCACAAGCATAATGCGAAAGACATGGGGTGTTTCTATCATTCAACCACTTATATAAAGGATAAACTCAAAGCCAGTGATACCATGAAACCGCGTGTCTGCGAAGACGCGGGATGATGTCTTGACAGTCTTTCGCTGCACCGCCTTAAGCATGGTGTTGTTGAGTGTGCTTGCTTAACAAACTACATAGCAGGTCTGGAGGAATCTTACTACGAAGACTATGAATGCCTGCGCATGCTGCATGAAGCTCTGTACATGCTAGATCCCTACAACGTACATCCGCCCTGAAGCCCGCGAACACTTAAGCATGGGAACCAAGTCTAATTAGGCCTGTTTGTAGGGTTGAGGGGCTGCTGAGAAGAAATAACTGTCAGGTTTGTGGCAACGGCTGCATCTCCTCTGCAAGCGTCTCGTAGGAACAGTGCCTTGGCATTGTACTGCTTGAGTGCTAAGATTCAGAGCTTAAGGTTTCAACCCTTACGATTTAGTCCAAAACCGTCCACGGTTCGAGCTTGCCTCTGTGTACACATGGGCACTATCCTGAGTTGAGGTTGCAGTACCATTTCGTTTCGAGCTTTACCCGTCCGGCTGAGGTGCGGAAGGTGGATTCAGGAAGGACTTCACCGTTCTTGGAAATAGTATGAGCTACTATGATGATAGATGCCATTGTGTATCACGGTGTTTCCTGTTATTTGTGTTTGTCTATCGGTATCCAGAATCGCGAACCTGCCGTCGTGATGAGCATGATAGCTGTCCAGATGTTTCCGTGGTTTACTTTGCTCTATTTACATCCCAAAGAAACCCTCATAGGACCGACACTCAGCAAGCCCAAAATTCAGCCTAAGTGCTGAAATCCGAACCGCCTAGATGTGCGGCCACACATTGCAACTACCATCATGCGGCATCTGTACTCGTAAGCAAAGGTCAGAGACATCCCAAAACCCTGAACTTCAAACCCTAAACCCTAAACCCTAAACCCTCTGCGAGTTGCGAGAGTCGAAACCCAAAGTCCCCCTGCCAGCACAAGCTGGGTCCATTGGAGCCGAGATCTGGTTCGAGTGCTTCATCTCCGTGGTGATCGTCTTGAACTCCGCACTCATAGGTCCCTTCTGGGTCTAAAACGCTGCGAAAGGAGGCTTAGAGATTCGGCTTCCATGTGGATGTCTGGGGCTCAAAGGGTCATTGGCCGTTATGCTTCAGTTTTCTATTGCGATTTTGGGGCGGCTTTCAGTGTGATTCAGTGTCCCTGAGCAAGCACGACTCCTGACTCCTGCCCCTGCTCCTGCCAAGTCTGCTGCCACATCGACGTCCATGCAGCACATTAACCGGAAACAGTCACGAACTCCTGGTGCCTGTGCAGTGACTGCAAGGGTTGAGCTTGAGCTTCATTCCATAAAACGCAGCTTTCACATGTTGAACCTCGAACATCTCTATACATATCTCTTCAAGTTCTACCCGAGTGGGCAACCGGGATAGCGAACCTAAACTCTGGCATGTAAGTCTACTCCTTACATCTTGAGCAAGCCTGTTTCTATTGGGGCCTAAATGATTACCAATACCATTTTGGGGTTTCCTTACTATGGCACGTCGGGATTCAGATGTTGATGTTTGTTTCTTCCGCCGGGAAGGGAGGAGGCACGCGATGCTACTGGGCGACACATCGATGAACCATATGCCTTATGCCATAAGAGAACATCTGCTGAAAGCAAGCGCTTCTAAATTCTGCGCGGTAAGTTCCAACTCTTGAACCCAAACTGCACCGTCTCGGGCCCATTTCAGCAGGTGTGGAGACTCAGATGAGTTTGCACGGTCACGAGTTGGTATGGGCAGACGAAGCCGAGATCGTTTTTCTCGTCATCTACACCACGGAAATTCTTCTCCGGTGCATTGCCGAGCAGTGGGGCTGTTTGTTCGATTGGTGGTTTCTCTTTGATTTTACACTGGTGCTCAGCGCCTGCGTGGAGCAAGTCGCCTATGTCTTTACAGGATCGTCGGCGGAGCAGATCATGATTCTGCGGCTCTTGCGGTTAATCCGCTTGGTCCGGAGCTTCCGCATGATCAAGCAGATTAAGTCGATCTGGCGGCTTGTGTACGGGCTGCTCACTTGTGGCCAGACAATGTTCTCCACCTTTGCTTTGCTCTCCTTGGTCATCTATGTCTTCGGAGTGCTAGGCATGGACGGGGGTGGGGGGCTCTTTTTGGGTATTTTTGTATGTTTTGGTATTTTTGGTTTTCGGTTCAGTGGGTGCGTGAGTCCATAGGTCGGTCAGTCAGTCAGTCATTCGGCCGTCCAAGGAAGAGCGGTCAGTCAGTCAGTCGCATTCGGTCGTCCAAAGAGGAGGGATCAGTCAGCCAGTCAGTCAGTCGGTCAGCCAACCGAGCTGTGAGTCAGTCCGTCCACAGGGTGCGTGAGTCAGTCAGTCGGTCAGTCAGTCCAAATTAGGGGGCGGCGTGTTGAACATATGCGGTGAACCGGAATCGCCAAAGGAGCGGTATGTTCAACCGCTGTGACTCTTGCAAGTTTTGTATATGGATCGAACCGAAAACGAAAGACATACCCAGAAAAAGCCGAAGCTATTTTACTTCGAACATCCCCACCCTCACGGTAGCCTGTGGGGTTGGGCACTCCAGGGAGTCTCACGGGACTCTCACGCTAGTCTGTGGGGTTGGGCACTCCAGGGAGTCTCACGGGACTCTCGCGCTAGTCTGTGAGGTTGGGCACTCCAGGAGGTAGTCTCAGCGGGCGAGGAGTAATAGCTGACTTTAAAACCTAACAACCCCACACCGAGGGTGGGGAACAATACCAAAAAAGCCTGGACCCCTGGACGGCATGAACACGCTGAGTTTGGTTGTTCGTGTTCGGGTCTTCAGGTGGAGACTGTTCTGGTGCTTTCGGTGCCCCAGGAGGGCCACGCACAGAAACCAAGCCCACAGCCTGTTTCATCCTACGAGGTGTTGAGGTCATCTCGAACAACACGGAACTCCAGAACAACTCGGCCACTGCCCAGATCATCACAAATCATTTTGCCTCCCTGGGCATGCCTCTTGGAAGGCTTCAGAAGGCTTATATAAGGGGGACAGCGCGGGGCTCGTTTCTAGATGCTCGTTGAGTACTTGAGGGGAGGCTTGGGTATGATGCTCAAAAGCTGTGCAGGTTTGGAAGCCAGGCATCCTCCATTTTGGGTTTGCGTTCGTTGGGTTGCTAGTTAGTTGTGTTGATGCTTACTGATGCTTACATAAGCCCAAGCACCAGTTCCAAGCCCCACACCCAAGGACCATGATGACGCTGTTACAGTTCGTCACCATGGATTCGATTGCTCCAGTCTACACGCCCCTGGCCCTTGAGCAGCCACTGCTGCTGCTACTTGGCTGCTCTTCATCATGCTTTTTTTTACGGTTTAAGCTTTCGATGAGGCGGGCAGCTTGGAGGCACTTCAGNNCTTCAGAGAGACCTCGTTCAAAAACGTTTGGTGAACTGTTACATGTATAGCTGAGGCTCTATTTTCTTCCTCTCGGGGCCATCGTGTCCATCTCGCTTATGAACTTGATCACGGCTGTGCTTGTGCCCGGCTCAATACTCGGGACGGACATGTGCACGCTGATCTTGCTAGGGGCGGTTAAGACTCTCGGGCGGACCACTCCTCTTCTGCAGCGTTGGGTTCTTGTTGTTGTTTTGATGACTACATGCTGTTGCTTTTGGTAATTGTTGTGAGCATCTTTGTGTGCACGATTACCGCCAGAAGTATTGTCATGGTCTTATACCTGGTTAATGGTGCGCCTTTCGTTTCGTGGAAGCCAAGCTTACCCAGCGGCCGTATCGCACCGTTGAGGCTTTCAGGGTCTAGTGTGTCGGTTTTAGAGGAATTCCCGACTCGCGTTGCTTTCGAGGTCAAGACCTCAAGATCTATCAACTGTCCAAGAATAGACAGCTCACCACTTACTCGCCTGAGTGCCCAAAGCCCTCAGCGAAACCTCAGCTGCTAGCGTCTTGGAGTTGTGAAGCATGGTTGCAGCGCAGGTCAGTAGTAACAAGACACAGAGCCACAAAGGTGGAAGGCGCTCTGGAACATGCACGACAAGACCGTGAGGAGGAGCTCGTGATGTTATCGCTTTTCGCTTTTGGTGGGCAGGAGGGAGGCAGACGTCGGAAGCGTCGTCTACTACCAAGAGCTACTGCTACTGCTACTT